CAGCCAGCGGAAGTCCACATGCTTTCAGAAACTGGGCTAGGCTGTTACTGTAGTGCGTTCACCTCCCCGGGAGCGAGAACAGGACACCGTCAGGCTAAGAGACGGCAGCACACAGCATGTCCGTGGTAAACAATTTATTTTTCTACCTCAGTCACTTACAGGGGGAAAAAAATAAAATGTCATTAGGGAGCAGCACAGATGAACTATTTACAGAGATGAAGAAAATTCACAATGGCAAAAACGCGGGTGAGGCGAGCATACTGGGGCAAGTTCACCAAAGCAAAGCAATTCAGAGTAAAACAAAATAAAGCAGGGGTGGGAGCAGCGAGCCACAAAGAATCATTAAAAACAAAAACAAAAACAAAACAACAACAACAACAACAACACCAGCACTCATGAGAAAGCCTGCAGGAAAATAACAGGAAACTAACCAATGATTACATCAAGCATCTTTCATGAGATGAGCAAAGCCGCCCAGGTTGGGTCTCAAGGACAGTGACATCCAAACAGAGGGATGTGCTCCCATCAGATGCACCAGGTGGAAGCATGCGGGTCACTTCTCACAAACTAGGAGCGGGAACAACAGGGTGGCTCTTGAGGGCGCTGCTGAGCTGTACTGCGGGAATCCCAGCAAGTGGGGCTACTTCACATGGGGGAAGCGGAGGGGGTCAGGACCATGGGAGACACAAGCCCTTCTCCGAGTGACTGGATCATCGGGGGGTGCCCACCTGCCCAGGACCGGCTCTGTGTGCTCTGTCCCCTCCTACCCTGAAGGCGCCAAGAGGCCCTGATACCAGCAGGAACTGCAAGGCCAGTGTGGATGGGGTGCTGCGGAAGGAGGGGCCCGGTGTGGATCTGTGGCCACAGGGCCTGAGATGTCCCTTCTCAAAGACACGTGCACGTATCATTATCGTTCACAGCCACGGAGTGCCTGGCCCCCAGACACAAAGACAACCAGATCGTGATGGTTTTTCAGATAGAGCTTTTCTTCCAGATTACGTCTTTCACGTAATGTGTTTACAGAACGGGGGGTGGTGGTGGTGGTGGTGGTGGTGGTGGTGGTGTGTGTGTGTGTGTGTGTGTGTTTTCACTGTTGGTACTGTCCACCACAGGACACAGGTGCTCTAAGTCACAGATCCCCAATGCCTGTGGGCCACCAGCACTAAAAGCTCAGCCCATGAAATGCCCCAAGAAGCCTAGTTGGTCGCTATTTAAAATAATTTGATGCCTGTTTCCTGGCTTCTCCTGAGGAGGCGCCGCTACGAAGTTTGTGAGAAGTTGCCCTTGGGCCCCGTTACATTCTAGGTAGGGAAGGGAGGGTGCTGGGAGGAGGGGGGTGTTCACAGTATGTACAAGAAGCAAAATGGGAAGGGACTGCAGAAGAAAAAAAAAAATTTTTTTTTTCTTTTCACTGAGTGAAGCAAGGAGGACTTGAGTCTTTTCCAAGAATTAAAAATGAGAAAAAGAACATTCGTTCAAACAGGCAGCTAGGACAGTCTCAGTGGACACTGACAGCCGGGGTGGCCCCAGCCGGGGCTGTGTCCTCTCTCGAGGAATGGTAGCAAACCCCAATGTGTTAGGCCTCTCTTAAGAGCTAGTTGATAAAAATTATGTCTTGTGAAATCGGCAAATAGTCTGCAAAGTGAAATAAGAACAGAAATTAACAAATTAAACTGAAATGAGTCCGGGAGGTGGGGGGAGGGAAGAGAGAGGAAACAGCAGGGGCCACTGATGAGAATCATGATTATTTGAGCCCCAGTACTAATCCTGCGGGGTGGAGGTCAGGGCGAGGGTGTACACGCTGGACATCTAGGCCTGGGAAGAAGGAGCCGCTTCCACAGTCGTGGCTCATCCCTCAGTCTTTCTAGAAAAGAGCTACTCCTCCCTCGAACTACTACCCATAGTGTTGAGCCCTCTGTATCGCAGCATCTCACTTAATCGCATCCAATCCTAATGTGGGCTCTGCTGGCCAGCGAGCAGCCCAGGAGGGCAGGTCAAACGCAGGGCCCTTTGTCCTGATGGGGGACACTGGGGACATGGTCTGTGAGTGAACACCCACAGGATGAAGGACCTAAGCAGCTCTCGGGGGCCTGGGCATCCTGTCACTCCTCCTGGCTCACACTCATGCTGCCCCACTAGGATGGGACCACGGAGAGGCTGGGGGGGTGGTGTGGCGTCCACATACACTGTGAGAGACTGGAGGTGGGACGTGGGTGAGGGTACGTGGTGAGGACACGGAAGAGAAAGATCACAAAGCAGAAAGCTCAGGGCAGTTTGCTGGTGACAGCTGCGCTGATGTCACCGGCTCACAGGACCTCAGGGTGCGGGAGAAGTCAATGGAGTCAAGCGGACAGGGTGAGCAGGGGGCAGATTTGAGCCATCCTCCTCCGGGCCATCCCACTGCACCCCAACCTCCTCCTCACCAGACCGTCTAAGACACTCCTTATTGGCACGGGACAGGAGAAGGATGTTAGAATGTTCCAAAACTCCTGACTCAGAGACCCCGTGCTGGGCTGGAGGCTCCAGGCAGAGTCAAGTTTCATTTTTGAGGGGAGCCACCGCGTCATGAGCTCTGGAGTGGAACACCATCGGGGACTACCGAGGCTGCTTGGGGACAGTGGACAGAATGGCAGCCGGGTCCAGCCTCTGGGCCACCCCCCTCCCGGCCTGGATGGAGGGGCAGACTCCACATGCCGCCCCTCCCTAACAGCACGTGGCCTCACTCTTGTGACCACTGACAGCCTCTTTGTGGCCATCAGTGAGGACACCCAAGAGACCTCCAGGGTAAGAAGTGGAAGGATGGAGAATGGAGAATCTGATGGCCGGGGGAGGAGAGAACAGCTACGTTCCATGGGTCAGGGAGCCCCTGTCGAGACATTTTAATGTCCCATTCCTGCCCTAAGCAAATCCAGCCGACTACATTAAGCCGCAGGAGCTAGGGACCATGACACACAGGCCCTGGACATGGTCGTTCCTAGCCCGCACCAGCTCCCTCATACCCTTGCCCTGGTCCTAAAGCCTTGGCTTATGGTGACGGTCTGGGCACAGCTGGGAGGCTCTATCTCATCCTACCCAGCCTTGGTTGGTCACTCTTGCATCTCTGTCTTGCATATATGTCTGCTGAGGACAGATCCAAGGACACAGATCCCTGAGACACAGCTTAGCATGGGATCCACTTTGTCACCCCCCAAATTATTCCACATCAGGATCCCCCAGCTCTCCCTGCCTGGGACTAGTACTGCACCAAGGGGGAAATGGCAACCTGACTGTGAAGGGAGGCAAGCTCCGCCAGGTGTGCAGAGTGGCAAGACACTCTCAGCGAGCCAGGATGGGAGCCTCTATGTCTTCCTGAACCCTGGTGAGGAAGCCCGGGGAGGGAAGGAGATGAAAGGCTTTCTTGAAACTGCCACCAGTTTCCGGAAGGTGGGCAAGAAATGACTAGGGATGATATGCCAGGTCTGCCTGGGAGGGACAGTGTGTATGCATGTGTATAGGAGTGTGGACCACGCACACCTCCCCCAACCTCTTTCTTTGTGCTCCAGAATGGTGCCATCCAACAGAACTTTCACAGAAAATGTTCTACAGGCTGTGCTAACAGCAGCCACTAGCCACGTATGGCCACTGGGTAAGTGAAGCGTGGCTGGTATGACAGAGAAACGGGAATTTCCGCTTTACTTCATTTTAACTTAAATCTAAATTAGAGTAGCTCTGTGTGGTTAGCGGGATCCTACCGGACAGACGGACGCCAGAGAGAGAAAGCAATGTGGCAACTAAGAGCCAGACCACCTGGGTCTAAATCGTAGACCTGCTTCTTGCTGCTAATGAGCCTGGGAACAGGGTCCCCATCTGTAGATGGGAAAATCTAATGGAGGAGCAGACTTCTCTGTTCGTAGTGAGAGGCCCGCAGCTTCCCCAAAGCAGCCAGCTGCTGTAGAGGCCGCCATCGCGCCCCCCACCCCCCGCCCTCGTGGAGATGCTGGCCCCAGGGGACAGGCTCATGGGGAAGTCTCCCCCACTCGCACTGCTCCAGCCAGAACTGCTGCTGCCGTATCCGCCTCCCCTCCCTCTCCCCTCCAAGTAGGAAAGGTACACACACCCCAGGGGCTGTCCTGCCCAAACCCCTTGTTTCCAGAACAAGTTGTTTCCAGAAGACAGTGATGAGCCCCAGAGATGGCAGGGGACCGGCTGCAGCCACGGGCAAGGGCCTGGGGCTTCCATCGCCGATGGATGATCTGTCCCGGACAGGGCGAGGCCCTGAATGCCCCCAACGCTTCCTGACCTCCTCTACAACATCCTCCTCCACCCCAACACTCCGGCAGAGATGTGCAAATGCTGGGGTAGATCATCATGTGCTCCCCTCAGTCCTCCTCCCTGGCTTCAGGACACAGGCCTCTAAGGGCCATGCCTATGCTCCCCGGGCCTCCAAGGCCTCTGGGTCTGGCTACACGGGAGTTGTGGCCGCCTGGGCATGTGAACGGGCACTATCATAGGCTCTGCCTCGAGCGTCTGACGCCTGCACGCGGGGGAGGGTGAATCTACATCCCCCACCCAGGACAGTTAACCCAAACCCCAACAGCACACCACAGCTACACACAGAAGGGCTCAAAGCCAAGGCCACCAGGCAGAGCTGGAGGAGGGGAAGGAAGGAAGGAGGGAGGGGGAGATGAGAGAGACAGAGGGTAAGAGTCTAGTCCAGCGAGAGAACTGGTAACAGGCTCCAGACCAAGAAGGGTGGGCAGAGGGAGGGCTCCTGACTCAGCTCCTTCCCTCCAGGCCACCCCCAGAAAGCTGCTATTCTCAAATACCCAGCACGGAGGCAGTATTCTGACTCATCAGACACTGAGCCGCACTTGTCCCCAGAGTTCAGTGCACTTGAACTTCAGCACCTACAGGTTATTCCCTGGATGGACACGTGTACGAGATGTGTTCTCTTTAGGGGTCCTCCTGCCTCCCCTCCCATCTCCCGTGCTTCCAAAGCCCCAGGAGACACAGACACTCACCTGGGAACTGATAGCCATAGCTAGGAGCAAATCCAGGGTAGCCGCGGCCGTAGGTCGCCACAAAGTTGGGGTAGCCTTGAACACAGAGAGAAAGATCACAGGGGCATTAGTACAGCTGCCTCAGGCCTGGGGTGAAATCCCAGGGAGGGCAGAAATGAGGACAAGCCTGGGTCATTTTACTGCACAAAACGATTTGCCTCCCATGAGGGTCTTTACCCAGGCCTCGGGGCCCCTCTCTACTGTGGCTGGGGGCACTGCTGTCAGCGTGCTGGTAATTAACCTGTATTTGGGCAGAGAGACCTCCCAAACCCACGCACCTTCTGGAACCTGCAGAGTAAATGCCACACATTAGTACCAAACAGAGGGCCTGCGCCTGGCTCTGACATTTGGAGAGCTAACCCTGAGTGTACTTTACCGTAAAGCTATTGACAGTAGGAGATTAAAGTCCTTGTAATGCCTCTTCCCAAGGCAGCAGAGAGTGGGGCCAGCACCAGACAAAGCGGGAGCACTCGGGGGTCAGAGTTTCGGGGCTGACCCGGTGCTTCTAGAAAACCACTGGGCTCAATGAGCCATGGCCCAGGGAAGGCATGGCCCCAGGGGCCTGTGTCCAAGCACAGATACTCAAGAGTGCCCACACTGTCCCCAGGTTCCACCCACCCCCCAGCCACCCCCAGAAACCATGAGGGACTATTTTGTTAAAGTGTGCTCCAGGGGGGCACCTGGATGGCTCAGTGGGTTAAAGCCTCTGCCTTCGGCTTGGGTCATAATCTCAGGGTCCTGGGATTGAGCCCCACATCGGGCTCTCTGCTCAGCGGGGAGCCTGCTTCACCCTCTCTCTCTGCCTGCCTCTCTGCCTACTTGTGATCTGTCTCTCTGCGTCAAATAAATAAATAAAAAATCTTGAAAAAAAAAAAAAAAATGTGCTCCAGGAAACACGGCCCAAACCCAGAAGCTTCACACCACATGTTGTAACTAACGGGTGCATCATGGCGAGCATGTTTTCCACATGATCTCAGCAGATAACTGGGGGTTGGGGGGGGGCACGATCCCTGCACTACAGACTGCCTGTGGAAAGAGCTGCTGGGTTGGGTGTGAGGACACTGCTGGCATGTTCTGCGGCCGGTGCGGCCCTCTGTAAGCTAGTATGAAAGCCCCAGCAAGCTCTCAACCCTCCACTGTGCTCACTCAGGCTGTTTCACCATTTATGTCCCTGCCTCTTGGCTCAGGCGACAGAGAAGGCTGGTGTGTAGCCCTCTTGGACCGATTCCGCCAGTCATAAGAGACCCACGGTCCCCCTCTGCTCCCATCCCAGCAGGCTCATGCTGCCTCCATCCGCTCGATGTGTGGGAATCCCAGTCCATTCCTGCTTCTCACACACCCCCATGGCTGATCTCCCGCCACCACCACCACCACCAACCACCCAACCACCCCCAACAGCCTGACTTTGGCTTGGACTTTGACTTTTGTTTTTTGGCTGCTCAGTACCTAAACCCCTTTTCTGAGTTTGGGTCTCAGAGAGAGGCCTGCCTCTCATCGTGGAAGCAGAAGAGGGCCCCTTCCTGCTCTCTCTAAGCCAGGCAGCTGGGAAGCAAGTTGTGAACCTGGGTTTGGCCCAAGGAAGTCTTCCTTGGATCCATTTCTGAAGAGAGTGGGGCAGAGGAGGACACAGTGATTCGGAATTTATTCTGGTGCCTTTGGCGTGAGCCCAGCACCCAGTGGCGGCAACAGCGGATGCCCCGACCCCGACCAGGTCATTCCTGGGTTGTCCCTGGGTCCCGGCTGTGGCTGACCACCCAGTTACTGCCTATTCTCCAGCCTTCCTGGCAATTCTGTGAGCTGACGAGCCTCTGCCAATCCTCTCCTTTTCGGCTTACAGAGGCCAGAGTTTCCGGGGCCTGCCATCAAGAGGCTGGTAGAAAGTAGCTTTGATGTGGTGGGGGCGGGGTAGTTCTGTAAGAGTCTTCCTGCCCTTCAGCCACGAGGGCAGCAGTGACAGCTCTCCACCTGTGTCTCTGCAGCTCGAGATAACCACTGACACACCCCCAGATACGGGCGTGGGGGTCTCATCATCCGCGTCCTGAGTGCACAGGGGGTACGTCACAAGCACCTTCTGATGTGCGGTGAGGGCTAAAGGAACAGGACCATCCCTGCAGTTCCGACCTGGGTATTCTCCAGCTCTGTGCGTTCGAGCTGGCAGGTCTTCCTGTTCACGGAGCCTTTATGCCTCGGAGGCCCAGAGATGGGACCCACCTTTCCTCACTTGCCCATGCGCGTTGGTGTCTTGGCCTCCACTTGACCAGTGGGTCTGTCATTGGACCCAGAAGAAAGAATTGCTCTTGTGGGCATCAGGAGACTTGGGGTCCAGGTTTGCCTCTGGCCCAAGGTCCTCTGACACCTTGAGTCTTGCCATCTGTACAAAGCTCTACGGGTCCCTTGCAGCATTCTCGACTGGGGCCCCCTCGTGCTTCCCTTCCCTTCCCGTTTAGCCAGAGCCTTTCCGAACGTGCAGTCACGACTCACTGGCCGACTGACCCGTTTCCACCTCAAAAAGGCCCTGCGCCTACTCCCTCTCAGGGCACCCATCTCGTGGGGCCTGGTGTCTCCCTGGCAGAGGGTCACCCAGACAAGTGGGATGACCACACGGCTTTGCCCTGACCAACGAGGAGCAGGCTATCCAAGTGTGACGCTCGGCTCTGGCCCCCGGTCGGGGAACAAAGGGACAGAGGGATGGAGAGGAAGCGGGAGCTCAAGAGGCCTTACAGGGACACACGCACACTGGCTTCTTCCCTGGTATTTATTTCATGGCTGGCCAGCTCAGTTCTCCTCTGAATTAATCACCTGCTCTCAAATCAGATCTTTCATGACTAGATTTCTTAAACCATTATTTCAACAATATCGATAAACGGATTATATGCAAACAGCCAAATCACCACTGCCTAGGGCCTTTCCTGGTGAAAAATGACTCCTTTGCTTGTAACTTCAGCACTAGGGGTCTGAAATGTTTTAATCTGATAGCAGACGTGTAGGCCCACATGTCACCTTCAAGCCTATCTCTGGGCAGGTAGGCAGGTGGGGCGGAGTGGGGTAGGACGCCCAGCCTCCCTGACGATTGGGGCCCCCAGGACCATTTCCTAGCTGCCTTCTTCCTGGCACATGTGACAGTCTTCGACAAGAAGGGAGGCAAGCACGGTTGAGTTCACCCCGATTTGGGGGCCTCACCCCAATCTTCCTAGACATGTCAATATGGTCTCCAGCACAACCCAGACGAGAATTTGGCTTCTGCCAGAGCGGGGGATCTGATCTCCAGCCCCCATCACGCACATCCTCCGGGTCAGGCAGATGAAATCATAAATTTATAATACAACATTATTTCAATTTTCCTCTTCATGTATTGCTGTGCAGCTCAGCTCTGCTCCAACGGCTCCCAGCCCCAGCCACATGGGGAAATTGGCCGCCGCATGTCAATAGCACATTACGGCAGACCTACGTGGAGGCTCCATCAAGCCCTATAACAGCGGGATGACCCAGCCACTGCTTCCATTAGCAGCTGGGCCCCTCCCACACCGGCCACTGACCAATTTATGGGCTCCAGTACTCTGGAAGCCTGATCAATCTCACAGTAATTATCTCTTGTCACTGAAGGAAAAACTAAGCTTGCTCCTGGATGGCCACCGTTCTTGCACACAGGCTTTCCACTGGGGGGGAAAAAAAAGAAAAAAAAGAAAAAAAAAAAAGAAAAACCGAGAAATTAACAATGATTCGAATTTGCCAGGCAGATCATTTCAGGGCCCCCTTTTGGGGAGGCTAGCTGCGTTCTCGGAATTGTGGTTCTCGATCTTTCTCCAACTCTGGAAGATGCTGTTGGCTCTAACGCTGGAAGATGTTTGCATTCTAGATGGGCACATGACTCATCCTCGCCCGGGCTCGGTGACTCAGCTACTTAGTCATGGAAAACTGCTCCCACCAGGCCCCCGACTTGAAAGGACAGGAGATGAGGGTTGTTTATCCAGGGGCCGGCCGGAGTGTGACATACACGCCACGTGGCACGCAGAGCACTGCCTGGGGCGCCATGCTTGGTTCCACGCGGGATGAATCCAGATGCAACACCTGGTGCCCAGAGCCCTTCCCAGGCCGACATGCAAAGGCCAAAGTCTACCCAGACGCTCAGACCCCAAAAGCCATCCCGATGCATAAATGCATCTTGAGGCCTACGCTGCCCAGTTTAAATTTAAGTCTAAACTATGATGAAAAACCCCAGCTCTTCAGTGGTACGAACCATATCTTAAATGCTCAGTAGCCACATTGGCTAGTGGCTACCATCTTGCGCAGTGCAGACAGAGGCCCCTCCACCAACCACAGAAAGTTCTGGGGGCACTGTGTTATTCTAGAAGGAAACCGAAGAACTGAATTTCGAGCTTCCTCTGTCCACCAGGAAACAGCTGAACAAATGGAGACCTCCTTGGGAATGACCTCAACAGACATTTTGGGGAAAGACAAATCCCAGTGGAAATTATGAATAAATCTAGACACGCAGCTCTACGTTCCAGCCAGTTTCCTTTTGACCTGTTAGTGCGTGCCAGCAGATGATAGCTCATCTTTTCTAGATGCTGGTTTAAAAAAAAAAAAAAAAAATTGCTTTCATTTCCGAGGGGCTTAGTGTCGGGGAACACTGTGTCGAGACTTCACGGGGACTTCTCAGTAGGAGCACTGTCAAGGAGGCCTCAAGCTTTCTTCAGCTGAGTCTATATAGTCCCACCATTTCTGGGCCTGGAGGGTGAAGCTATCCTTCAAAGCCCCAGCAATGAGGTACTCCTCTCCCAGCGGTTATCAACCACGTTCAGTAGTGTGTGCCCAGCGAGGTCAAGACAGTTAGAGGCAGTAGGCTTATGTGGCTGAGGGCAGAGTAGGCCAAAGGGAATAAAATGTACCAACAATAATCATGTTTGCTTTTATTAAGTCCACTTCCATGAAGAAAAACTGGAGAGTCTAGGGCACTGGGCTGGGTCGCCATGGGCACCTCTTGGCCACCATGAGACAGCAGAACCAAGTCGGAAGGACCGCCGAAAGATCTTTCCAAGGGTCTTCGTTGATTTTCATTCTGTCCAGCTCGAAGGCAGGGAGAACTGGTCTGAGGAGGACCCTTCCTCTTCTCTCCCACATTCTTTTCAAGGAATTCCCATTGGGCTGATTATTCTATGACTCTCTCAAAGGTTGTAGAAGCTAAAACCAAAACCGCTGTAGGTTTCCTCCCAAGGACAGATGCAGCCATACCAAGAGACAGCAAACAAACATGATTGGGTCCCTCTCCGCTTGTCAGTGTGGAGAAAATCTTAAGGGATAGTTAAAAGCAAGTTTCACAGTTTCCAAGTCCTTTACAGAGCAGCGTATCTGCCATCTCGGTAGAACGTCGGCTCCCTGAGATCAGGGACCTCACAGTCTGCTGCAGCCTCAGCACCAAGGACAGTGCCTGGCCCTCAGTAGGTGCTCAGGAAACACCTGTTGAGGGCATGGACGGAGCAGCTTTAATGGTGTATAGTCTCACTTCTAAACACCTGTCCAAGTGTTAGACACTTTTCTGCCCTTCTGACAACAAACATTTATAGCATGAGAACTATTTCATTCATGAACTTTTAACAAATGTTTTTCTGCCTGGGCGGAGTTCATCAAACTCGGCTTTGATGAAACTGTGGCTGATGTGGCTGATGACGATCGTGGTGATGATATGGACAGGCGATGGGTGATGGTGGCGATTCCAGGATGGATACGGATCACGGAGCGGGTGAACCAGGTGACTTATGGGGATGTGTCAGGCCATCCCACCCTAGCGAAGGAGAAGCACGTGGACCACGTGGGTTTGCCTACTATCAGCTGGGGTCAGAGCCCATCCTGGAGACTCTGAGCCCAGCACTCCTCACACACACCCTTCAGCCAGGCCACTGGGCTTTTGGGGCTCCCCATTCAGGAGCCTCACCTTCCAAGGCTAGTCCTGTCTGGATCACCCTGAGCTTGCTCATCCTTCTTAACACGGTGAACATGTCACCTCCTCAGGGAGGTATTCCTGATTCCTCAGCCTAATTTCCACTCTTCATGATGTGCTCTTAAAGCACCCCCTGACTCTATCACGACTAACTAACTGTAGAATTAGCCATTAACTGTTGTCATGCTCACTAGACCACAAGCTTCAGAGGGCAGGGACCACATCCACCTTGTCAAGCACAGTCTCCCAGCGCCAGCACGGGGCTGGGGTGGAGGCATGCACCAGGCGCTCAAAGCCGACTGCCGGTGAGCACCTCCTGTATTCAACACAGCCTCCCTGCCTTGGCTCCCGTTATGAAACCACTGGGTGCCCTCTGGCCAGGGATCTGAGCTGAGGGTTCTGGAGAGATGCGGGCCCCCAGCCCCGGACTGCAGCTGGGGGCAAACAGAACCACTGCACCCTTGCTCTCTGGTCAGTGGCATGAAAGGCTTCCCTGCACATCTCTGCTTCCCCCTGAAGGAAACAGGTCATTCTTCCCAGCAGCCGAGGGCAGCAAGTCAGACTCAGTAAGGCAAAGGGCACTTCCTGAAGATCTGATCCGAAAAAGTTTCCCGTCTTATGTCCTAGGGCCTTTATACTCACTGTTGAAAATTCAAGGCTCCAAAAACCAGTAGGAGGCAACTCTTTAAGAGTTGATTTTAAAATTTAAAACTATTACTGTATTTGGACCTTCTTTTGGTATACAATGTAGGGTAAGGCCACACAAAAATTACTTTTTAAGCAAGAGGTAGACAAGTGTCTCACAGTCAATTAGGAGCTAATGCCCATGATTTTTATCTATTTATTTAGTTTTATTAGAGAGAGTGTGAGCAGGGGTGGGGGGAGCGGGCAGAGGAATAGGGAGAGAGAGAGAATCTTCATAGCAGGCTCTGCGCTCTGTACAGGGCCTGATGTGGGGCTCGATCTCACGACCCTGAGATGGTGACCTGAGCCGAAATTAAGAGCTGGACACTTAACTGACTGTGCCCCTCAGGCGCCCCCTCCAACTGATTTTTAGAAGTAACTTCTTTACAATGATTACACTCTTACATTTAGTTTCAGATCTCTCCCTTTCCCTCTCAACGGGGCAATCCTATATACCACACTGTTTCACTACTGTAGCTTTGTGCCGTGTTCTATTTGGTCCAACTAGTCTTTTCTCATTTTTCTTTTGAAAACATTTTCTTATCTATTCTCATGTGTCTCTGCTTTCAGATCAGCCTTAGAATCATTTGGCCAATCCTGGAAGAAGTAAACAGGAATTTCCCACGAAACTCAATTAAGCCGAAAACATGAATTCAAGAGGAAGTAATATTTCTGCCACTTTTAGGATTCTCCTGGCATCTCTTTCTGTCTCTCAAAGTTCCTCCAACTAACTTTACGGGCCCTTGTTATTTGCTGAGACAAAATAGATACAATGCTTTCTATGAATGTGTAACACCAAGAAAAGTTTCATACATTTCAAATGGAGCCGGGAATGATTTAAAGAGCTGTGAATCTTTACATAAAGAGCTGATCAAACAATATAGAAGGGGGACTCATAGCCAAACAGAATGAAAATCCATTAAAACCAGACAGGTCATGGGCCTGAATGGAATTTTACCATTAACTACCATTTATCCCATTTAATTAGTATTTTCCCGACACACAATAACTCGCACTAAAATGCCGCTCTCTTGCCTTGAAATTTCTAATTATTGTTGCGACCCACACCATTACGCCTCTTCTCTGCTTTCTTCATTTTTCATGCCATTTCAGTGGCAAGATTTTCAATTATCTACGCAGGACGGACAGAGATACCTTTAAGGAAGGGGCATAATATGCAACTTAATTTCTCTAAAAGCCAGGAGAGATCATTTTTCGTCAGAACAAACACACTTTGTCTTTCATCTTTTTTTTTTTTTTTTTTTTTAGCAAATAAAGAGTAAAACAGGCCATTTAAAACATCCATTTAAATGCAAATTCTGATATCCCAAGAGAAAAATGTTAATCATTTAAATAGACAGGATTATAGCCCACCCTCATCACTTCTCCTCTTCCAAGTTTTAGAAAATGTAGCTTCGGCCCACAGGAAGCCAGCCAGGAGTCCTTGGGTCTTTGGGAACACCCTGTCAGTAGAGAGGCGTGAGGCAGGGGGCTGCCTTTTTCTCCTTTTGAAGAAGGGAGTGGAAAGGAGAGAAAATAATATCATGTACCCCCATGTGCCAGGCATGGGACAAGACGATTATCTATCAATCGACCTATCTCTGTAATGGTCACAACTACCTTGCAAAGGGGTTTATCATCTGAGATGCAGAAAGGCAGTTTGCCCAACTGGTACGTGACCTAGTTGGGTGCCCAGGCCTCCGGAGCCCCCAGCGCATGGTGGCTCTGAGGTGTCCCCAGGGACCCCTGCCCAAGACTCACCTAGCATTCCCATGCCAAGCATGAACGCATCCATGGTGTAAGGCAGTCCCCGGGCCCGGCCTCTTGTCCCCGGTGGGAACATGACTTCCTTAGGCTGAGCTTTCTTACATTCTACCTGTTCAACAGAAAGGCGAACAAATGAGATGCAAATGAATGCCACGTAAATGTCAAAGGCAGAACGGATCTGGTTACCCGCGAAGGTATTTTTAGCCTCGCTCCTTATTCACTGTAAAAACAGCCAAGCCAAGCAAATGGCCTGCAAAACAAATATTTAAGAAAACACGCCACTTGTTGCAAATCCTGCTTTGGAAAAACCAACAAGGATGAAATTGGGTTTTGAGGGGTGACAAGGACGTGGGCTGGAGACACGCGTGCTTGGGTCGGGAGCTCAGCCTGGAGCGTGTGCAGAAGGCCCGGGAGGTGAAAAGGCACATGGGGCCGCTGCGTGGGTCTGTGAAGAAAACCAACAGCAGTAGTAATACCCCCTCCTGCTCGTTTGGCCCCTTACAGGTTTACAAATGCCTGTGGGCCCGGACTCTTCCTATCGGGCCACCTGATTAAGTTTCATATTAAACAGGCCGGTTACTTTTAGCTCCATTTCACAGATGACGAAACTGAACATCTGAAGGCTTGTGTCCTGTGCTGTAAGCCACAGCCCAGCAGGGACAGGCCTGGAAGCCGGAGTTTTCTCAAATTGCTAGGTCGCCGACGCCCCCAGCTCCCTCAAAGCCGCCCTGGCACGCTCCGGAGAGAAGAAGGAACGTTCCACACCACTTCTGTCCATCTGGATTAGTGGCTTCTCATTCTGCAGCCACATCTTCAAGTGGTTGCTAATCTTTCCTGATTCCCTCCTGCCTCCTGAATTTCTTAATCCCATTCCACTCACACAACCCAAAAGTCACTTACTTCCCAGCCTTAATGGTATACAATACAAACTCCAAGAAGGAAATGAAACTGTTGCTCTCAGAAGGGCCTACGTCATTCTCAGGAGCGTGTCTCAGCCCCCTGCTCGGTGCTTACTTGCTTTTAGTTTACAGATAAACCTAACACACGCTGTTAGCTGGTAACCCACCCCATCGCTGATGGCAATGGGACCCAGCGGGGCAGGGCAGGGTGCTTACGGTGGCAAAAAGCGTTAGTGTGACAGTCAGATAGTGAGGGAGGAAGGGCAAGAATGAGGTCCCCATATTTAAAAGGGGCCATATGGTATAGGAGCCAAAACTCCACGTAGCCCAACAGCTGCCGAAGGTCTCACTACCACACAGAAGATTACAACTGTTCCCAGGGTGTCTGAGAAAGGAAGAAGTTCAATTGTTACCTCATACTTTGTTTGAAAGGGACCTACATGGGACTCTCCATTTTGGAGATGTACATACCTCTCAGATCTTCTAATGCCAAATACTGCAACTAAAAAAAATGTTAGGGGCACCTGGGTGACTCAGTTAAGCAGCCGACTTTTGATCTCGGCTCAGGTCTTGATCTCAGGGCTGTGAGTTCAAGCCCCATGCTGGGGCTTAGTGCTTAAGGCTTGAGGGAAGCTTTAATTACCTAAAATATTAACTTCTCTTCCTTCAGAGACACCAGATAACAAGTATTACTCACTCTTGCTCTTTAAATAACCACACATACTTTAAAAACATGGAAAATATGGCTCAACATTTATGCCTGATAAGCTTGGCACGAAGTTTTTATAGGTTAAAAAGGAAGAGATGAGCACCCTGAAAGAAAATGGGTGAGAGACATGAACAAGCAATTCACAAACAACTAATAATGACATTTACACCTTTCATATCACACGTCACCTATGACATCCCCAAACGAGACATACTGCCACCTATCAGACTGGCCACGACGACAGGATTCCTGATGTCAGAATCTCTGTGAGTATGGGGAAAGGGGAGGGGTGGGACTTCACATACATTTTTTGGGAGGGTGACCTGACAAATGTTCCAAAGCCATCCAAACATACATCGTTTGACCTAATAATGCTACTTGCAGGAGTTTATCCTGCACGGACATACAGATAAGGCTCTTGTGGTGAGAAGCAATTGATTATTATTATTATTATTTTTTAAAGGAAATACCCTAAGCATCCAAGAATAGGGAGTTAGTTAGCCAGGTTTGGTTCACCCAAGCTTACTGGAAGCTGCTGTGAAGCTTCAGAAAAGCAAGTTGAAAATAAGATGCAATGATGCTGGGAAACCCTCGGTCCTGGGCAAACGAGGGTGGTCGAACACCCTAAAGGTAAAGGGGAGAAAAGTAAACTACTGTGACTCTGTGGAAAATAAGCACGTGTATATGCATATCAAACAGGGGAAACATACTGAAAAGACATACCGAAGTCGCTTTAGAGTAACTCTGTTCTTTCATTTCCATGGTGCACTTTGTTACTGGTACTTATTTGCCAGGTTTTCTGCTCTAAGTATTACTGTTGCAAACAGTAGTAGGGAAAGGTTATGAGAAAGAAATAAATTCATCAGAATTAGATCTTTCAGATCTCTCTCATAAGCCGGCGGGGGGCGGGGGGCAGTTTGCTCCTAGACACCACCCCGGGACTCAGAAGCAGGCAGAGGAAGCTCATTGGCGAGAGCCTGCCGGGGCCGGGGAGGATGGGCGTGCTCTGCAGAAGCAGACAGATCAGTACCCGACGCCAGCACCGGGGGCTACAATAATACTGCTAACCAGCTCACTTCCTAATGGCCCTATCGGTGACAATCTATTGTATTGTCTTAGGAAAACCTGCCGCCTGTTCCTAGGCAACCTGATCAACGCAAATTTCAGGTTTATACAGTTTTCATTTAGGGAACATAAAGGTTAACTGACTGTAATGGGAGTATTTTAAACAAACCCACCTACTCTTCCTCTCACTGAACAGGGCTGGCAGCTCCGTTTAATTCTGTTCTGTCTTCGCTTGTGCTGTTTTGGGCAGCATCCACTGTGCGGGTCCTGTCAGCTGCCCGCTATGTCAACTGTGAGTGCTCCCCGAGGCCAGGGGCTGTGGCACGTGCACTCTTGGGGTGGGGGGGGATCCCCATGTTCTGGGCACTTGAGTGACAGGGAAAGGTAGCCACCGCACCAGGGAGCCTTGGCCTGGTCTGCACTGAAGGCTTCCCGAAAGATCTCTCAGGTCCAAGAGGCCTGCCCAGCCAGCCCCCAGCTCCTCTGAAAACATACAAAACGGGGGAAGAGAAGAGCCATTCTCTGCTCCTATCCTGAGTCCTTGCAAGGGGTCAGGGGCCTGCTGAGCATGAAAACCACTTCCCCCCTCCCCACCCCCACCAGAAGCCCCGCCTCCTCCATCAGCCTGTGAGCTCTCAGGGCAGGGATCAAGTCTATGTCCCGGGTTCCTTGCGACAACCTGTACAGAGCATGGACTGATGCCCGTGCTCACTAGGGTCAAGCAGACCCAGGCTTCCTGATCCAGCAACGCTGAGGGACTCCATGTGCCTGGCAAGTGCTAGGCCATGGGGGATGCAGATAGTAAGAAGTAAGAAGGCCAGCCTCCACCTCGAGAGCTTTCATTCTGTTGAAAAGAACAGGTTCTGACCGTCTTGTTCCCCTACCATGAAGGCAAGTACTCATGTCAATCTGGCCCCTGTCATTTCTGGGCTTGCCAGCCTCTGGAGCCTCTTGAGTTAGACCCCATTTGGGTCACCCCCCGCATCCCCACTATCGTCCCACCAGGCCCCCAGGCAAGCTAGAGAACGGAGCATGAACACCCCTAGTTAGAGTCAGAACCCAAAGGAGGAGAACCAGCCCAAGCTTGCCCAGCTCCAGTCACACATTCAATGCACGTGACCACACACAACGTCCCACGTATCTCCCACTGTGTAGCAGGCTACTTCCAAAGGTCGTGGCCTCAAGCAACAATGGCTCATTCCTTCTCGTGCTTCTGGGAGCTGCCTGGGCCCAGTGGGGCTCCTGCTTGCGGTTGCTCCTAGAGTTGTAGTTCGATGGTGCCCGGGGCTGGAGCTGGAGCCAGACAAAGGCTGGACTCAGCTGGAGGTTCGAGTGCCTTTTTCTCACACAGAGTGGGCAGCCAAGGCTGGTCAGCTGGGACCATCCACCGGGAAGCGCCTGCTCTTGGCTTCTCCGGGGCACTCCTTCCTCTCACACCATGCTGGCTGAATCCTGACAGGGACTGTCCCAGCCTGAGAATTCCACAAGACCAAGGCACAGGCTGCAAGGCTTATTCTCCAGGCTTGAGAGTTAGGCTGCCGTTTCCATCACGTTCTGCTGGTTACACTGGGTCAGCCTAGATTTGGTGTTGGAGGCGAAGATCGCTGGGACCGGCTTCGGAGAGCAGCGACCACATGAGATGGGTGAAGAGCGGCGAGCCGACAGGACAGTGGGAGGCCCTCCTCCTCCCCGCGGCGTCTGGCTGGCCGGGTTCTCAGGCTAGCAGGCACTGAGTTCTGTTTCCACCATGGGGCACCAGGCGGGCAGGGAGCTCCCTTTGGGGGCAGCCCTGGAGAGGCTTTCCTGGCTTCCCATGGTCAACAGAAGCAGTGGGCCTCTGTGTGGCCAGTCCTCCTGTTCCAGCTGTTTCACCTCTGCCCCCACAGAACCCCGTTCTGTAGGCTCCCCACCACCTACACCCGAAGTGCTTTCTCAGCCCAGGGTGGTGGCAGATTCTGAAGAAGGGATAGCTTCAAGTCTTGGTCCCTGAATCTTCTCAACAGCTCAGAACTACCCCCCCACCCCCAACAGCCGCTCCTCACCATGGCTATGGCTTCTAGTGATGACTGGAAAAGGCAATGTGGTTGGTGGGCCAAGAGATTTTGTAGGAATTTCCATTTGGATTTGTGCTTGTAAGAGGTCTCAGATCGACTGACCAGGCACTGACCAACCACTCACGTTAGGAAGACGAGCTCTCCGTTCCAAGTTTCACGGCTGGCAAAGCCACGAAGCAACCCCACACCAGGGGCCGAATTCCAAGGATGTATCCCGCCTCCAAAGGTAGGTGGGATTTTTAATCTCCTAACATGCTGCTTTGCTTGGCAGCCTGGCCCTGCAGAAGAGGGGACGGCTCCCTTGCTGTCTGCACAGACACAGCATAGGAAGAATGATCAACCGAACCCTCTTTCCCAACAGGACAGTCCAGGCGGCAGCGTG